CTACACATTACCATAATATTCTTTGTATTCTATTAAAAAGTACCTGGGCCTAGGTGCTTCATAAAGAAAAGAGCTTTAGTTTGCTTCACAGTTCTTGAGGGCTGATGGGGCAGTCCTAACTGGTGGGGCCTTTGCTGCCTCACAGCGTGGCAGGTGGCAGAGCGTGGCAGGAGCTCACAAGAGAGACGCTGAAACACAGGCACACACACACACACACACACACACACACACACACACACACACACACAAATCACAGGGAGACAAAGCAAACAAGAGCGATTCAGATCAGGGCTAACCTATTTATAACAATTTTCCACCAGCAGTACTGATCTACTCAGTCCACAAGAGCTCAAATTCCCTCAAGACATGACTGGATTCATTCATGAGAACTCCTGTGACCTAATTATCTCTTAATTACATCTTGACAGTGCTGCATTGAGAAATTAAGCATCACTGTGAGTTTTGGTGGGAACAAACCACAGCAGATACCAAATCAGCAGTTCAAAGTTTTATGTATTTGTATTGGAAAGGCAGATCAGATTTATGGAGAGAATGAGAGAAAGATCTTCCACCTGCTGGTTCACTCCCCAAATGGCTGCAACTGTGGATGGTGATCTAATCCCAAGCCAGGAGTTAGAAACTTCTTCTGGGTCTCCCACACTGGTGTGGGGTCCCAAGGCTTTGAACATCCTCTGCTGCTTTCCTAGGCCATAAGCAGGGAGCTGGATAGGAAGAGGAACAGCTAGGACACGAACTGTCACCCACATGCCATCTTGGTACTTGCAAGGCTAGAATTTAGCCATTCAGCCTTTGTGCTGGGCCCAAGACAAGCACTTAAATAAAAATATCCGTGGCTTTCCCATCATCCTTAAAACCTTCCTCTCTCTATTTACCGCTATCAGGGAAACATGTTGGCCCTGCTGTAAAAAACATCCACAGGAACTGATTATGTTTTGTTACTTCCTCCACTAAAACCCTGGACTAAGATCATCTCTTATTTGCCTTTATAAGCAGCCTCCTTATGAGGTCTCCCTACTGTCTGGCTTTATGCTCATGGTTTATTCACACAGCAGCCACAATGCATGAAGCTTTAAAGCATAAGTTTAATTATGTTATATAGCCGCCCAAACTCTTCCAATGCTTCCTGTCTAAGTACTAATAGAAGGCGTAATTCTTATCGAGGGCCACAAGCTGCTGTATGAGTCTGCTGCCTTCTCTTTCCTTCCCTCTCCACATAGCAACCGTGTTTTCTGTGACTCTCTGGAGTCTGCATCCTGGTCCTGGGAGTGAAGCCGCCACCTGCAACGCTAATATCCCTCACTCAAGCACAGTTTTGAATCCTGGATGCTTGACTTCCAATACAGCTCCCTGGTAACGTGCCTGGGGAAGTATCAAAGATGGCGCAAGAGCTTGGGTCACTGCTACAAATGTGGAGAGCTTGGCTCCTGCCTTCTGCCTGGTCCAGCTCTGGTTGTTATGGTCACTGGGGGAGCGACTCAGCAGATGGAAGACCTCTTTATCACTCTGCCTGTCAAATAAATACATTGAATTTTTTTTTTCACAGAGTGGTGAACTTTGATTCATTTTCTGAAGAGACTTTAGGTACTTGAAAAATTAAAACTATGATGTGAATAACTTATGTTGTCTACTCAATAACTATATCTTAGTCTTTGGATATATGATATAGTCTTTGGATATGTTATTTATATATGTTATAGTCTTTGGATATGTTATTCCATGAACATGCAAAATGTACCTGTTCATAGTTTTGTTTTACTATATGATTCAGTGAATATTGTATTTAGATATTCAATGACATAGTCCCTTACTAAATTTTTAAAAGATTTTTTTTAATTTATCTTAAAGACAGAGTGGAGTGACAGAGAGAGTGGGAGAGGCAGAAAGTGAGATCTTGCATCTGTTGCCTTACTCTAAATGATTGCAACAGCGGGGGCTGGGTGAGCCTATTGGCAGTAGCTTAGATTCATCCCGGACTCCTACGTGTGGCGGGGCCAAAGCACTTGGGCCATCTTCTGTTGCTTGCCTTAAAACATTAATACGAAGCCAAGCCAGAAGCAGAAGAGCTGGGATTTGAGCCATATGGGATGCAGGCAGTACAAACCACAGCTCAACCCACTGAGCTAAAGGGGTTACTGCCACAGCCCATTGTTTAAAAGGTAAGTGAAGGACAGGTGCTATAGCAGGATGGGTTAAGCTGCCACATGCAGTGCCTGCATCCCATATGGACTGCTCCACTTTTAATACAACTTTAGACCCTACACCCAAATAGGAGACCCAGAAGACTCCGAGCTTTGGGCCTGACCCAGACTCAGCTGTCATGGCCACTTAGGGAGTAAACCAGTGAACACAAGAGCTATCTTGCTCTCTGTAACCCTGCCTTTCAAATAAATAAATACTTAAAAATAAAAAACAACAGGTAAATGGATACATATTTTCAACTCATCTAATTATCCAGCTTTATAAAAATTTTAACAGATTAGCATAATAAAAATAAAGATATTGTCTTTCCTTTTCAATTTTTATTACATAGAAGGATAAAATGCACCATTTGTCTCCCCCTGTAAGCATTCTGCTTTACTAATATATGTTTATGGGAGGAAGATGTAAACATCATTATTACTTTTAAAAATATCTATTTTTAAATTTGAAAGCAGGGTTAACCGGGGAGTAGGAGAGAGAGAGAGAGAGAGAGAGAGATATGCCGCATCCACTGGTTCACTCTCCAAATGGCTGCAACAGTCACAGCTGAACTGAAGCCAGGAGCCAAGAGCTTGTTCTGGGTCTCCCATGTGGGTACAGGGGCCCAAGAAACATGAGCCATTCTCTTTTGGTGTTTTCCCAGGCCATAAGCACGGAGCTGCACGAGAAGTGGACCAGCCAGGATTCAAATCAATGTCCAGATGGGTGCTGGCATCACAGGCAGAGGCTTAGTCTACTATGCGACTGCACCAGTCCCATACACATAATTATTTTCTAGCTTTGAATTCAGGACAGTGGCTACTATTGCTGTGTAAGAAAGGATATACTATTTGGAATTAGAAAATTAAAGTTATCATCAGTGAGACAAGTCATAAAACGAGGATAAAGAATTACAAAGGTACAAGATTAGGAGGAAAAGATTAGCTTTTCCTCCAGGTCTCCCACACAGGTACAGGGTCTCAAGGCTTTGGGTTGTCCTCAACTGCTTTCCCAGGCCACAAGCAGGGAGCTGGATGGGAAATGGGGCTGCCGGGATTAGAACTGGCGCCCATATGGGATCCTGGCACATTCAAAGTGAGGACTTTAGCTACTAGGCTACTGCACTGGGCTCATAGTGTTCTTTTGTAAGTACTGACATTTATTTCTCACACTGCTGGAGGCTGGGAAGTCACCCATGAGGGCAGATTCGACATTTGGTGAAGGGTGTATTCCAGCACAATTATCTTATCTTTCACCATAAATTCACAGGGGCGAGAAGTTGCTTTTGAATTCTTTTTAAAATAAAAATAAAAGCAATATATACTTAGGTGGGTACACGTGATGCTTTGACCTTTGGGTGTACTATCGAATCAAACTAATTCTTCCAATTTTTGTGGTGGTTGGGGCCTGTTTCACTGAAAGGCCTCATGATTAATCGCTACTAGGAGGGGCCATCTTCTCATACCATCATGCTTCCAGCATATTAATTCTGCGGGAACACAAACATTCAGACGACAGCATCAGCCTGTTTGCAACATCTTCAACGTTAGCGTTATTTCCAAGAACAGACATGACAACAGCCTGACATCAAGGCATCTTTACTGACCAGGTGATGGACAAGGAAGTATTTTTTTTTTTCCTATTAGGCATTCTTGGGAACTCATTCAAAGGACACTTTTCATTTCATCAGGGAACGCCCGGGGTTGGACTGAATATTTAAAACTGCTTAATTCTGAGGATACAGGAATCAAAAGACATTGTGCCAGCTCCCAAGGAGACAGACACGAAGACAATTTAAGTTTACAGAAACTACAGATATCTCAACACCAGGAAAGAAGATTTTTCTCAGGTGACAGCTCAATCCCCAAACGATGTGAAAATACACATTCTAGACATGAAAACACACTAGTGATTCCTAGTTTACCGTATTAACCGTCATTTTGGTTTACCGATAGTGATGCGTCATTTCTTATCGGGTTAACCTTCTGCAAAATCATCTACCTTTCCTCCAAAAACAAACAGAAAAAAAAAAAACACAAAAAAACTCCACAGACGCCTGAGGAACCGACGCATCACGGGACGCCGACGAGGCGACCGCAGAGGCCGCAGTCCTGCCGGAGCCGCGGGCCCCGCCCACGTGACCAGCGGGCCCGCCCCCGCCTTCCCAGCACGATTCTAACGCCCTCCCGGGCCGTACCTCGTGACGTCACGGGCGCGATTCCGCCCCGTGGCCAATCGCGAGGCCGGATTCCGGGGAAGCCCGGGGAGGCGCCGGCGACCTAAGCGCGTGCGCGAGAGCTCCGCGTGGCTATATAAACATGGCTGGCGTGGTCGCGCAGCCGGGCCGAGCCCAGCGCGCCTTGGGGGCTTGGGGGTCTCTCTGGGTCTCGTAGTTTTGAAATTTTTGGCGGGGGTTGCGGGGCGGGGGGGAACCGCCTGGAAGAGTTAGGTTCGGAGGTCTTAGTGACGCCGTCCCGCCATCCACGGGGTCTGCGGCAGCAGGACCCGAGGCTGTGGTGCCGGCTTGAGCCGGCGCACGTGTGAGCCCCGCTGAGGAAGCAGCAGGCGGCCGTGCCGGTGGTGCTCTCCCGGGCCGACCCGACTCGCGCGGACGCGGGGCGGAAGGTCTGAGACGTGCGGGTCCCGGTGCCCGGTCGGCGTCTGCCGCGGTCCCCCTGCGCCTGTCGCCCGCGATGCTGTGGATCCTGAAGTGCGCTGGAGCCGGCCGCCGCTTCCCGAGCCTCCCCTCGCTTCAGCTCCCGGAACGGCAGCGCCGCGGCTGCCGCTGAGCCCCGGAGGGCATGTCCGCGGGCCTCACAGAACCGGCGGGCGCCGCTCCCTCAGCCGTCGGGAGCGCCTCAGGGACCGTGACCATGGCCCCCGCCGGGACCCTGCCGCTGCGGGTGGAGAGCGCGCCCCTGGCCGGCGTGACCAAGACGCCTGTCGGTGTCTGCGCCGATCCCTCGGCGTCTCAGCAGCCCCTGCGGTCCCCGGTGGGGACCGTGGTGACCAAGGTGGCTCCTGTCAATGCGCTTCCTCAACCCGGCGGCGGTGGCGGCGGCGGCTCTAGGCTGCCCGCGCCTCAGATAGTTGCGGTGAAAACCCCCAACACCACGACCATCCAGTTGCCGGCTAATTTGCAGCTTCCTCCAGGTAAGTGGATCGCCCCTCCTGGGCTTCTCGGGCGACCCGGGAGGCGTCGCGGCCCCAGATGGCTGCTTCTCGCTGGAAGAAAAGAACCTAGGGATCCGGTCGTGATCTTGACTTTGCGGGCTGTGCTTTAGCTTTCTGATGAGTATGACCTCTCTGTACCTTCGTTCCGATCGTACTGTAACGCGTGTTTTCACCCAGGTGACACCGTCAAAGCTGGGCCAGCATCTTCAGGAAGCTCCCGATGGCTTTGGCCTCTGGGTGTCGGGGTGGACAGGTGATAGCTAAAGTTAACTTGCCAGGTAGAGAAAGAGCCGCATGGAACTTGATGTCAAAAGCGTAACTGAAAATGTCTTGTGTGTTGAGACTGAAAGGCGGTTTTTGGTGTCACTCGGCGAGAGTGGGTGTTCAGCTTGCCGTCCAGTGCCAGGAACACGCGGCTCCCCTGCGCAGTGTGTGACGTGGGGCGGTTGTAGCTTGCAGTTGAAGGAATCTCTGCGGGAACAGGTGTCAGAGGGGACAGGGCAGAGCGAAGGAAGGGGTGTGACCGCCCCTTGTGCCTGAGTCTTGGTGTCCTTCTGGGGGCTGTCTCGATGACCCACACGCACATTTTGCCTTAGTCACATACTGTCAGTATGCTGAGTGAAATTTGAGAGTTTTACCTTCAGTCTTTCCTCAACTGGGAAAAGTCTTCTAGAATTTGTCTTGTGTTAATTTCGTTAAGCAGCGGGCGATTGGAGCTCTTCCAAAGGGCAAGGCAGCGAGACACCAATTCATAGGATTTTGGAAGCCCCTAGCAAAATGACAGGGATTCTTTCTGGAACATTGGGAGCAGATTACGCCCTGGACTTCTGATGAAGTTTTGCTTTAGTTTATGGTACACCAGGTGTGCACACTTGTTCAGGCCATGTGCAGCACCACATTTTTTTTTTTTAACTGAATCTAAGTTGTCCTCTTGCATATAGACATATAATAAATTTCTGTCTGGTTACTGGTTTGTTTAAATTACTCAAAAGTATTAGGGAAGATAGGTAAAGGTAGGCAAAGGAAAAAGGAGTCTCATATTCTTAGTATCTGAACTCTGTTTGAATCTGTTCAAACTATAAAACTAAAATAAATAAATAAATAAATAAATAAAAGTTCACAGAGAAAAAATAGAAGGACTGTCAAAAGTGAGAACATTCCAGTAAGTTGCAACAGATGACTTATTGAGGTTTTACTGTTAGGTGCTTTTCTACATTTATATTCTTTTATTTGTTGGACGTAAAAGGCAGGTAGCAAAATGTGCAAAGAGGTCTCCCAGGATAGATAATTTGCCCAACTCAATAGTTATTTCAGAGGGGTTTGGAATCCAAATTTGTTTAACTGTTTGCACATATTGTGGTTACCACTGTAAGCTTCATTATATGTCAGTGCTGAAAGGCAATTTAGAGAGTTTTAGAGCCTAGCTTTTGATTCCATACACCAAGGATTGAAAGCTGAATCTTGTCTGGATTCAGTGGCAGTAAACTCAGACTAAAGCCTGGTTATGTTGATTGTATGGTACTAGGCTGTTTTATGTGGGGCCAGCACTGACTTGGTGGAACACCTGTAATCCGGGTCAGAGTGCCTGGGTTTCTGTCCCTGTTCCCCTCCTGATTCCTGCCGGTGTGTCCCTGGGGAGATAGCAGGGGACATCCCCGGGCTGTGGGTCCCTGCTGCCCGCGTTGGAGACTCCTGGACATTGGGAATCTGTGGGGAATGGATCTGTAGATTGGTACTCTCACCAACATTCTGCCTCTTAAATAATTAGAAGAAATTTGAGAAGATATTTTAGGCCAGTGACCTTGGAAACCACCTGTCACAAAGGAAAGAGTTGTTGGTGGGGAAGTGCTTTATTTGAGCTGCTTTGGGAGTTTCTGCTGTTGTGTAGCTGAAGGGCATATGAATACATTTGTGCACTTCTTGGTGTAGAATAAGGTAGCCAATAGTTGAATGAATTGGAAGCACCCACTACAGTGATTTAAAAAGAGGGTATGAATCTTGTGCTATTTCATTTGTAATGAGAATTAATAGTGATGCTGAATATATATCAATTCTGTGCAATTTTCAATGTGCTAAATCTTTGAGAGTTTCCTCTGTGAACAAAACTGGTCTTAAAAATATACATATACATATAGGTTTTTCTAGAGAGTAGGGGCTGGAAATAAAAATAAAAATATACATATAGGTTTTTCTAGAGAGTAGGGGCTGGAAATAAAAAGTTATGTGGGGGAAACCCATGAGAAAATGAAAGATCTTTTTGCACTTGTGAATGTGTGGAATTTTAGGTCAAAATGCTGCCCTTTCTCTTTTGGGTGGTCTGAATCTCTTCTGTCACTTGGGAGTGATGGACAAGGACTTGATGATGTCTCATCTGTGACAGTTTCTTCATTATAGTCATATCGTTCAAGTTTCTCAAAGTTGTGGAGCAATTGTGGTCTTTTTTCATTAACCTGTTTTCATAGTTTAGAAGAGCCTAGAATTTGCGTATTCTTTTTTTAGTACCAGTATTGCAGGATTTTTGACCCCGAATACGGCAGCAACCTCAGTTCTTGTCTCGCAGGAAAGAAGAATTTTCGCGCGGACACAGTTTAGTTTTAAAGCAAGATTTATTAGAAAAGTTGAGAAGAGAGACTCCCATCCTAGTGACAGGAGGGGGTTTTGAGATAGAAAGGACCCTTACCCCCTGCCATAGTGGCAGGAGGAAAAGTAAAAAAGAACCCTAGTGCTCTGCCATAGTGGCAGGAAGAGAAAAACCCGAACCCGTATCAATGGCGGGGAATGCACCTTATAAAGGTTTCGCTCAAAGCTGTTTCTCCATGAACAAAAAAAAATTTCTGGTTTCCATGGTACCTGGCCTTGGGACAAAAGGCCACAGAGGTGCCAGACATAGGACATTCCAGGCCTTAGGCAGATGTGTATTACTTCTTCCTGCTCTCCTTTCAATGATAGAGATCAGCCTGAGGCCTTCCCACAGTGGCCGGAGGTAATGGCCGATACTTCAGGTGGGGGATTGGTATGTTAATAGCACCCCTGTCCCTTGGAAGAGACGTGCTCTGGTGAATCTAAGACATGGTGGGGGATTTTATATTTGAGAAAATGACTTGGGGACCCAGAATACCCTAACTGCCTACTACACAGTCTAACTCCTCTCTCACCAGAGTTACAGAGAGGAAGAGATAGTGAGATCTTCCATTTACTGGTTCATTTCCTAAGTGGTCACACTGAACAGGACTCAGGTGGAAGCTAGGAGTTTCATTCTTGTCTCCCACATGGGTGGGAGGGGCTCATGCAGCTGTGCTGTCCTCTTCTGCTTTTTACATATGACTAACAGGGAGCTGGAGTGGAAGTGGAGCAGCTAGGACAGGAACTGGCACCCATGTGGGATACCTGTACTGGCAGATGCTTTAGGTGCAGTGCTGCAGCACCAGCCTTGATAATTTTCTTTATTTAAAAAAATTTTTTTTTTTTTTACGTTTGATTTTATGACAGCTTCATAGGCTCTGGGATTCCCCCAACCCTTCCCGGACCCTCCCCTCATGGTGGATTTCTCCACCTAGTTGCAGTATTACAGTTCACATCCAATCATAATTCTTTCATTGCAAGCATGTACTTTGCATAGTGTCCAGCATCTTGTTGTCCAGATAAATTCTACAGTTTCTTGGGGAGACCATCTCTGGTCTGAAGGCAGAGCTGGCAGAATATCATCCCTACCAATAAAAAGCCACAACATATCATCAACAATAAATCATCAACAACTAAGTGACCAATATGTTAGAAAAGATAATAGCCTTTCTAACAGAAGTGGAATGATCATTTTTATGGATTTGATTTGCATTTCCCTGATCACTGGTGACAGTGAGCAATTTTTATATGTTTGTTGGTCATTTGTATTTCTTCTTTTGGGAACTGTCAGTTTAGGTCATTTGTCTTTCTTAACTGGATTGGCTGTTATTTTATTGAATTTTCTCAGTTCCTGGTATATTCTGGACGTGAATTATTTGTTGCATAAATAGCTTGCAAATATTTTCTTCAATTTTATTGGATTTTGAAATTGATTTTTTTGGCAGTGCAAAAGCTGAGTTCGATATAATTCCATTTGTTTAGCTTTCTGTTAAAATTTTATTCCCGTTTTACCTTTTAGGGCTTTATTCAGGAAATCATTGTTGAAGGACGGTGGGTTAATCCATGGCCTTGTGATGCCAACCTGACCCATCCTGGACTTTGTGGCCTCTTGGGGAATGAAGCTGTGGGTAGAAAACTAAATTTAAAAATGGAAGAAATAATTGCCTTCCAATGTCTTGAATTGTTTCCTCTATATTTCCTTTTAGTATTTTTACAGTTCTTACATTTGGGTTTGGTCTATTCGTACTGATTTTTGTGTATGGTGAGAGGTTGGGATCGTTCCAATTTGTAGTGTATGTGCTGCCAAAGCAAGCATCTGACAGGTGGGGATCAAATTTCATTCTTAATATGTATGCCCAGATTTCCCAACTTCCCAGCACCATTTGTTAAAGCTTTTTTTTTTTTTGGTATGTGTCCTTGTTACCTTTGTAAAAAAAAATCAGTTGGGTGTAGGTATGTGCATTATTTTCTGAGTACTCCATTCCATTGTTCTTTTTCAGTTTTTAATGTCTGTTTCCAGGCTGGTTGAGTTATTATAGCTTTGTGATACGTTTTGAAACCAAGTATTGTGATATCTAGAGCTTTACTCCCCCTGCCCCCCAACTCTGGGTCTTTTTGGCTATTCTGAGTCTTTGTAGTTGCATATGAATTTTAGGATTGGTGTTTGTAATTCTGTTAAGAATGTCATTATTTAATATTGGTATAACATCAACTAGGTTGTTTTAGGTAATAGGAACATCTTAATTGTATTCTTCCAATCCCATAAGAGAGAAAAATCTGTCCATTTTTATGTTCATGATGATTTATTTTAATCAGTGTCTTATAATTTTCATTGTAGAGATCTTTTGCTTCTTTGGTTAATTTATTCCTAAATATTTAATTTTTTTTTTCAGTGGAGTGGCTAGATTCATGCACAGATTCATGCCATGTTAATTACTGTGATTTATAAAATCTTTTATAAAGGGGAAAGGTCTTGCATTTTTTAGGATTACCTTGTCATATGCTCAGATTAGTAGTATTTTAATTTCAGTGAAAATAGTTTTCTGTGTTGTATGTGATAATTAGCACATCTGGAATTCAATATGTACCAGTGAGTCTACTCAGAAGAATGCAAGACAGTATGTGATGTTTATCTCTTGTTTCTCAAAAGTTACTTTTTTTTTTAAACTATAGGAACAGTTTTGATCAAAAGTAACAGTGGTCAGTTGATGTTGGTATCTCCCCAGCAAGCTGTGACAAGATCTGAGGCCACGACTAATGCACTTTCAAGGCCAGCAGTGCCAGCAAATCCTCAAACAGTCAAAATCTGTACCGTGCCGGTAATTCGCTTGAAAGTTCTTTTCCTTTCCCTTTGTTTCCCATTTTAATTTACAAATGTATGTACCTTTGCCTTTTAAAAATGTTCAAGTGATGATCCCATTCAAGTTTCTAAATAGTGTATTTCTTTGAATAAGTTAATTTAACAAGATTTTTTGTGTTGTCATTTTATAATTTGTGAAGTGATGAAAATTCAGTGTTTACACTTAAACATTTTATAGTTCTGAATGGCCTTTTCAAAGGAAAGTGTGCATCTTACTAGGGAGAAAAAGAAGCATTTTGCCTCAATTTTAATTTGTAGTAAAATATTGACACTTTATAGTATTTATTTTTATTCATATCTTACAATAATTATCCAAAAATACACAATTTTGGCATTGGTAGAAAATGACTTATTTTGTGTACATAATGACCTTCCTAGATATCTGAAGCTTATCTTAAGTGACAGAATTTAAACAAAATGTGTGGGTATTTTTGTTTAAACAGAAAATGCTGAATTTCATTCAGCATGACTTAGGCTCAACCTATGGAAAGACTGAATTATTTTTAATGTGAATCATTCTCTTCCAGTGTTGTGTTCTCCTAATTTAACAGTAGGTGCTCAATTTGTTATTTTTTGGCAGTAATGGGTGCTCCTTCATTTTCTAATTTGGCTTATCTAATTGTTGTGTTGAGATGTTAGCCAAGTTTTGTTTAATTAAATATTAAAAAAGAAGCTATATGTTTTTATATGAACCAAATAATTAAGTTTAAATCTTCATGCTAAATGCCATAATATTTACTTACTTTGAGATTTCAGTTAATGGGGTGTGTTTATTCAGTCACTTGACTCCTCACAAACGTGCGGTGAGCATGAACTAAACAATTGGTGAGTTAGATTTATAGTGTATAATGCACATAAAGCTGACCGAGCTATAAAGCCAATTATGAAAAGTAAGTTTGCTATGGTTAAGTATGCTAATATTTAGCGTAGTGCTGATTCCTCAATCACTAACGCTGATGACTTTGTCTTATTTTGCCTCCTCTCCCAAGAACTCTAGTTCACAAGTAATCAAGAAAGTGGCGGTGGCACCTGTTAAAAAATTGGCACAAATAGGAACTACTGTGGTAACCACTGTTCCAACGTCTTCCTCAGTACAAGTAAGTTGTGACTTACTTGTAGCTGTGTACGCTGGTCATTTAGCTATTTCCTGCCAAAAGCATATTATTGACTGAGTGTCCTTGCAAGAGCAGGGATCTTTGAGGACCAAAACCAGTGCTGTATGGGATACATGCTGCCGGCTCCATATATTATATACTTCTTAAGGCACTTTACATCTGTCTTCTCATTTCATCCTTCCAACTATAAATACAGAAAAGTTCATTGAAAGATGGATTTGAAGGATGAGCATATTTTGGGATAAATATTTTCAACTCTATATGCGGTATTTTCATAATATGTATTTTCTGTGAAGTTTTCGAGGACCCATTGTGTGCACAGATCCATTTTTCTTCCCAAGCGAAATATGCTTAAGCCTTTTTTTAAAAAAAAGTTTATAGATTTTTATTTTATTTATCTTTAAGATTTACTTGATTTTTACTGGAAAGTAAGATTTACAGAGAGAAGGAGAGGCAGAGAGAAAGATCTTCCATCTGCTGATTCACTACCCACTGGCTGCAAAGGTCAGAACTGTGCCAATCCAAAGCCAGGAGCGGGAGCTTCTTCCGGGTCTGCCATGTGGTCGCAGGGTCCCAAAGCTTTTGGCCATGCTCTGTTTTCACAGGTCACAGGCAGGGAGCTGGAAGGAAAGTGGAGCAGCTGAGATTAGAACCGGCACCCAAATGGGATCCTGGTTCATGCAGTGTGATGACTTTAACCCTAGGCTACTGCGTCAGGCCCTGTACTTTTATTTGAAAGACAAAATTACAAGAGACAGAGACGAGGACGAAGAACTTCCTTCCACTGTTCCTCTCCCCAAATGGCCACAACGGCCAGAGCTGAGCCAATCTGAAATCAGGAGCCAGAGTTTTTTCTGGGTCTCCCATGGAGGTGTAGGGTCCCAGGGCTTTGGGCTGTCCTTGACTGCTTTTCCAAGTCACAGGCAGGGAGCTAGATGGGAAGTGGAGCAGCTGAGAGAAGAACTGGAGCCCATATGGGATCCCGGCGCATACAAGGTGAGGACTTTAGCCACTAGGCTACCATTCTGGGCCTGTATAATGAATTTTAATAACACTGTCGTGCCAGGCCTGGCACAGTAGCCTAGTAGCTAAATTCCTCACCTTGGGTGTGTTGGGATCCCATATGGCGCCGGTTTGTGTCCCACTGGCCCTGTTTCCCATTCAGCTCTCTGTGGCCTGGGAAAACAGTCAAGGATGCTGGAAACCTTGAGACCCTTCACCCATGTGGGAGACCTGGGAGAAGCTCTTGACTCCTGGCTTCGGATTGGCACAGTTCCGGCCACTGTGGCCACTTGAGGAGTGAGTCATCGAATTGAAGATCTTCCTCTCTGTAGATCTGATTTTCCAATAAAAATGATAAATATTTACTGACAAAAAAAAGGTTGTTGTGCCAAAGATAATGAGTTTAAGCCTGTTGAAAGCTACCATTGTATTATCAAAGTGCTCAAGCTCAACTGTTTTAGTTAGTAGTACTTTGAGTACAACAGCTTGTTTTTTTCTCTTAAAATTTTTATTAGAAGACATAGTATTTGTAATGCTTGAAATATATGTATATATGCTGAGGAAATTCCACTATGTGCATTATTCTTCAGGGCCCTTCTGGGAGCCAGTTTAGGATTGAATTTCTTAGAGGTTCCTCCCTTGAGTATTAGAGATTTTCCACTTCCACTGACTTTAATCTCCTCCTTGTCAATTTTGCTTCTTTGTTCTCTGAGTATTGAAGTCTCACTATTTCTGAAACCTGAAAGCTTGAGTTTATTTAGTTGGTGATCACAATTGGTGGATAATAGTTATGTTTGTGATTTTTTTAAAGGGACAGGAGCAGGGGTTTATAAGCTAAAATGTTTGAATTCAAATGGGGAGAAAAACTTTTATTTCTTTATTACATGCCTGTGAAACATGCATTTAAATTAACATGGTAATACAGTATTGAGTTTTCTGTGTGAATTGTAAGTACTGCTTTTTCTCATCACCTTCATGCTTTTCATATGACCTGTAACTTTTAGTATTTGTCTTTAAATAACATTGCTGTTTTGTTTCAATGGCATTTTCTCAGTCATTGTCCCATTTATGATTTCTTGTACATTAACCTTTTGGTCCTACAGGTGGTGCTGGAGTCATACCTCATTTCGGTAGTGGCTAGAAGAAATAATTGACCTTTTCAGTATGAAAAGATCATGTTTCTAATCTTTTTGCTTACTGTAGTGGTCTACTTAGAAGAAGCATATCTGAGTATCAGATAATCCGCTCACTTTGCTTTGTTATTTAAGAAAAAGCAGAAAATTACATGACAGGAAATTTTATATTTCCTTAGGCTTTCTATCTTAATTATTTTTGGAGAAGCAATAATCATATTCTGAGGGCCTATATGCTTGACATTGTTTTTTACAAACAGCTCTGGAACAGTAAGTACCATTGCTGTGTGTGCTTTTTTTCTAAGACAAGAATGAGGATTTGTAGGGTTAAATAACTGGTATGAAGTCAGTACCGCATTGGGTGAGATAAGTAGGAAGCTGGATGAGAATGAAACTCGGATCTTCTGGAGTCCAGAGTTCTTAAACTTTACTGATGCTGCCTTGGACTGATAGAATTACTTTTTTCAAAGATTTATTTATTTTTATTAGAAAGGCCGATCTGCAAAGAGAAGGAGAGAGAGAGAAAGATCTTCTATCTGATGGTTCATTCCACAAGTGGCCATAATGGCCAGAGCTGAGGTGATATGAAGCCAGGAGCTTCCTGGTCTCTCACACGGGTGCAGGGTCCCAAGGCTTTGGGTCAACCTCTACTGCTTTCCAAGGCCATAGGCAGGGAGCTGGATGGGAAATGGAGCAGCTGGGGCACGAACTAGGTACCATATGGATTGTGGTGCAAAGATTTAGCCACTGAGCCATTGTTCCAGTCCCAGACTTGTAGAATTTAACATTAAAGCAAATTTCTAGTCTAGTAAGTTTGAAGGTAGGCACTTGCTAATCTTTGCTATAATTCTTTTTTTTAAAAAAATTGTACTGCTTTTAATTTTAGTCCATGGCTGTGCCAACCAATACTATCACTGTAACGCCTGCCAGGCCGTTGAACACAGTAACCACTCTGAAACCTCCAAGTGTGGGACCATCATCCACCTCCTCAAATGAGCCCAGTTTGAAAACGGAGGGACCAGCAAGTGCTCAGACCACCCTTTCTCCAGTAAGTTCTCGCTTGTACCTTATGCAAATATAATTCTTACAAATTTTCTTAAATCCTGTTTGCTATCCAAAAATTACGATTTTCTTGTTTATATTTTCATATTTAGCCAATGCTGGAAAATGTGAAGAAATGTAAGAACTTCCTTGCAATGTTAATCAAACTAGCATGTAGTGGGTCACAGTCCCCAGAAATGGGGCAAAATGTGAAGAAACTTGTGGAGCAACTTTTGGTAAGTGAGGACCATAAAATCTTGCAAGCTCTGTGAGAATCTACAGAACGTACTTTAAATGGGAAATATTTGTTTTAACTGAGGTTATTTTAAATATGCTTCTTGATAAACTTGGTTTTTTGCCTCTTAAAATCTTTGTAATGATTGTAAATCTTAGATGAGTCCATCTACTATGCATTACTTTAAAAATTTATTTTAAGATTTATTTTTGAAAGGCAGAGTTACAGAGGGAGAGAGGGAAAATGTGAGGGGGAGAAGAGAGAGAGAGAGAGAGCAGAGAGCGAGCTTCCACATTTATTGGCTCACTTTCTGTATGCTGCAATGATCAGATAAATGTGGTTCCCATGCAAGGGATTTCTTCCTTTCTGAAGGATTTATTTATTTTTCTTGCAAAGTCATAGAGAGGAGGAGAGACAGAGAGAAAGATCTTCCACCTGGTGATTCACTCCCCAAGTGGCCACAACGGCCAGAGCTGTGCCTATCCAAAGCCAGGAGCCAGAGCCTTTTCTGGGTCTCCCATGCAGGTGTAGGATCCCAAGGCTTTGGGCTGTCCTTGACTGCTTTCCCAGACCACAAGCTGGGAGTTGAATGGGAAATGGGCAGCCGGGATTAGAAGTGGCAGCCATATGGGATCCCAGCACATGCAAAGCAGTGACTTTAGCCACTAGGCTACCCTGCAGGGCCCCAGAAATTTCTTTTGGGCCTCCTACATGGGTTACAGGCATTGAGTGTAGACATTGTAATGTGAAACACAAGTGTGTTATCCACTAGATCCAATACTTACACCCACTTTATTTTTTTAATTCTTATTTTTTATTTTATGTATTTTATACAGTATGTTTTTATATATGTATATGTAATTAAATGTATAATCTATTTTTTTCTATATCAGTGTTTCTTCCCTTAGCCTAAAGATGTTGGAGAGAAGGCTGCAAGTAGATTGTTATTAAGATTATAAAATACCAAAAAAGCCGGCTATCAATAGATAATGAGATTCAAGTTCTCATATGTCCAAATATCAAGCCTTGGGCTTTCTGGAACTTAACTTTCTTAGAGCTCAACTTTCTTATCTGTAAGATGAGTAAAGTAAATGTGATGTTTTTAGAGGTTTCTATAACCGCCATAGTACTTTGTTTTAGCTACCAAATTATACATCCTCAGCTTCTTATATTCTCCTTCAGGTAGAATGTTTTGATATAGTAAAGAGAAAGATGGTGAAAGTTAGCTGTTTTTTTAATATATTATGAATTGAACTGCAAGAAACATGGGTATGCAAATAACTTTTTATGCTGATTTCATTTCATAAAACTAATTTTTATTGCATCAACAAGGACATAACTGGTTCTATTGTTTTTAATTGTCATTGTTTTTCTTGCCAGTGGGTATACCTGTTTACTTTTACATCATCAGTGCTTAGCACAATGCAAAAGGCAAAAAACAAGGCAAAAACAGACTTAAGTATTAATCTGAACGTAATTTATTCATCAGAGCAGCTAAAGTGCCTCCAGTAGTTCTTTGGAACTGCTACCATGGATTGGTACAGTGTTAGCTTGGTTACAGTGATTTAAAAATTGTAACGACAGAATACCTCAAGGCCACCACACCAAGTAACGTCCTGTTCTCTACCCTTTCCTGTTGTGTTTGGGTTTAGTAATGTTGCATGATTCAGGTCATTAAATCTTCTCTGTTACTTTGCTTGCTGGAATCTTCAAAGAAAGAAAAGGAAAACCAAATTACCCTTAATTATATTCTCCATTGGTAAACCTCTGTATTATTTGCAGATATTAAGATGACATAAAAAAAGAAAAAGGCTTCTTTTAATGATGGTCCTTACTGCTTGTGAAAAGTGTGCTATGTCTATGGTCATCAGTTATACAATTTGTCCTGAAATATTAGAACACCTAACTGTGTTGTCTTTCTTCCATTTCTCCCTCAGGATGCAAAAATTGAAGCAGAAGAGTTTACTAAGAAACTGTATGTTGAACTGAAGTCTTCACCTCAGCCTCACCTAGTTCCTTTTCTTAAGGTAGAGTTATGTAACTGGGTTAGGTTGTCTTGGAATAATTAATAACCTGATTGTTTCAATATGCCAATAGCTCAGAGATACTATCAGTGTGGTAGAAACCTTTCTGTACTTTGGCAAATTACAGATCTCACTCATAGGATTCTTTTCATTTGAATACTGTGTGAAAGCTGAATTAGCATCTTCTTCATGAACAGATTTATGATTTTATACTATAGGAATATGTAAATACTCAAAAGATTTTGGGGTGTGTGTGTGAGAGAGAAAGACAAAAAGGGGAGGTAACTGGACCTTTTGTTTTAGGTCAATGACATTTATAATAGGAAACCACATATTGCTAGGTTTGGTGGGAAGGTGAAACTTACTAGGCATATGCTTTTTTTTTTTTTTTTTTGGTATGATTTATTTTTATTGGAAAGGTAGATTTACAGAGAAGAGACAGAGAGAAAAAATCCTCCATCTGCTGGTTCACTCCCCAAATGGCCACAGTGGCTGGACCTGAGCTGTTCCAAAGCCAGGAGCCAGGAGCTATTTCTGGATCTCCCATGTGGGTATAGGATCCCAAGACTTTGGGCCAACCCACACTTCTTTCCCAGATTGCAAGCTGGGAGCTGGATAGGAAGTAAAATGTCTGGGACATTAACTGGTGCGCATATGGGATGTTGGTGCTTGCAGGTGGAGGATTAGCCAGTTGAGCCATCATGCCAGCCCTAGACATATGTTTTTGTATGACTTATTGAATCACATTGATTTTTTAAAAGAAGATTTTTTTACCTTATTTATTCTATTGGAAAGTCAGATATACAGGGAGGAGGAGAGACAGAGAGGAAGATCTTGCAAGCGCTGAATCACTCCCCAGGTGGCCGCAATAGCCAGAGCTGAGCCCATCTGAAGCCAGGAGCCTCCTCTAGGTCTCCCACACTGGTGCAGGGTCCCAAGACTTTAGGCAGTCCTTGAGTGCTTTGCCTGGCTACAAGCAGGGAGCTGGGTGGGAAGTGGAGCTTCTGGGACATGAACTGGCACCCGTATGGGATCCTGGTGTGTGCAAGGCGAGGAGGACTTTAGCCACTAGGCTGCTGCATCAGGCCTTCACATAGAATTTTCACAGCGAATAACAACTTAAAAACAAGAGTTTGTTTTGGCAGACTGTCCATTCTTTGGGACTGCAGTTGTGGCTCAAGGTGCTTCAACACCAGCATCCTGTATGAATGCTGGTTCAACTCTTGGCTCATCTGCTTCTGATCAAGCTGCCTGCTAGTACACCTGAAAGGGCAGAGTGATGGGACAGATGCTTGGGCCCTTAACCGCTGCATGGTAGACATAGGTGAAGTTTCTGCCTTCTGGCTTCAGCTCCGCTCAGTCCTGCTGTTGGCTATTATTTGGGAAGTGAACCAATAGATGAAGACTCCCTACCACTGCCCTCCACTTTCTTTTGCAATCTCCCTCTCACCTTCTTCTCTCTAGCTCTTAGGAGGCAGTTTGACTGAATGTGTTATACCAGGAAATATTCTAAAACGCAAAGATAACATAACCATCTGTGTTTTGTGTCTCATTTTTTTTCCTAGTAAATAAGAAACAAACCCAGAGGATGACAAAGCTAAACGTACTGGTTTTACATTGGAAAATTTTTAGTACTTATTTATTTTTAGTTGAAAGGCAGATTTTACCGAGGAAGAAGGAGAGACACAGAGATCTTGCATCTGATTGGTTCACCCTCCAAATGGCTGTAATGGTGGAGCTGAGCCAGTCTGAAGCCAGGAGCCCGGAGCTTCTTCCAGGTCTCCTATGTGGGGCCGTCTTCTGCTGCTTTCCCAGGCGCATTAACAGTGTGCTGGATCAGAAGTGGAGCAGTTGGGACTAAGTGACCATTTTGGATGGTGGTACTGCAAGCTGAGCCCTGTCTTGCTGTGCCTTGGCACCAGCTTCTGACTTATCTTTCTTCTTCTATCAGGATACAAACATAGGCACAATGCTTGATATCCAGTCAGAAAATATGCTAGTTTAATTAGGAATTTAGTCACAATTTACTATTTACTTTGAGTTAGTTTTATTTTTGTGTAGAGATTGCTTTTGTTCAAAGTTCAAAACTATTTGCAAAAGGACCTAGCTTCTGTTGTGGTGTCAGTGAGTTTACAGAGACTAAAATTACTAGTTTTCTTTTAGAAATTTAAAAATTATGGAAATGTGTGATTCAGTGTTTTGCTTTACAAGTGTGCTGTTGAGTTATATAAAATAAGTTCAATATTAGCGTAATCATGTAACATTTTGATGAATAGTGTTTGGGAGCTTTAAATTGATTGTATCCTGGGTATTGACAGAATGTGACAATTAAATCCCTTTACTGAAACGTTTGATTTGGACTTTCTTTATACTTCCAAGATGATGAAGAGCAAAATTTTGTTTTGTCTGTAGCTAATCTCTTTAGTTATTAGTGTTTCTTTTTTCCCCTCATATTTCCAGAAAAGTGTGATTGCCTTACGACAGCTTCTACCTAATGCCCAGAGCTTCATTCAGCAGTGTGTTGAGCAGACTTCTAGTGAGGGTGTCATTGCCACCTGTACCACAGCGGTGACAGCTGCTCCCGCGGTTACGACTACAGTTTCCGTCATTCAGCCTGAAAAGCCCATTGTGGTTTCTGCAGCAGCAGCACCCAGAGCTGTGTCAGTGCAGACTCTGAATACACTTGCTGGTCCAGATGGAGTAAAACCTGGACTTGTGACTCTTCATTCTGTGGGTCCAGCTACTGTACAAGGAGGAACAACAGCTGGAACTGTTTTGCTTCAAACTTCAAAACCACTTGTGACATCTATACCAAATACAGTTACAACGGTCCCACTTCAGTCTGAGAAGCCAGTTGCCTCTGGAGCAGTGACCCTGGCCCTTCCTTCAGTAGCTTTTCGAGAAACTTCAGCTACAGCTCTTTGTCTTCCATCTGTAAAACCTGTTGTTACTCCTGCTGGGAGCACATCTGACAAGCCTGTTGTTGGAGCTCCAGTCCAAATCAAAATTGCCCAGCCGAGTACTGTTCTTTCACAGCCAACTGGGATTCCACAGGCAGTCAAAGTCAAGCAACTAGTGAGTTGTTTTTTTTTTTCTTTTAATGTGATTTATTTCTATGTTGTTTTTTACATGGTTGAGAAGGATGCATGCCCATGTGGGCTTCCGGTTAGGGTGGAGAGCGTCAAAGTATGGAGGAAAGTGGGTGGGCAAATGTTTTAGTTCTTTTTGTTTCTCCTTTGTTTGCTGGGGTGGAAGGAGAGGGGAGCCGGGCCTTGTTGTCAGACTGTATCAGCACCTGGGGATGGCGGAAAGAGAGTGGTTATTTGATAATGTTTTAGAGACCCTGATGTGGGGAAGAATGTTCTGAGGGTGTTAGTTGAGTGGTTTTAATAGTTCTGATTTTCTCAACCCTGGTAAAGGTTAAATTTTGATGAACAAAATTAATAACTAATTTTACCACAAATTGTTCTGCAATGGGGCCCACATTGTGGTGCAGTGGAGAAGTGCAGCAGCTGCGTTCTATGTTGGTTTGCTGGTTGTAGTTAGCTACTCCACTTCCTGCGCAGTGCCCCGCTGTTCAGCTTGGGAGGCAGCGGATGATGTCTCGGGCGTTTGAGTCCCTGACAACCTGGCGAAAGGCTGGAAATCGTCCTCACTCTGGACTTTGGCCTGACTCAACCTTGCATGTTGTAGCCTTTTTGGGAAGGAAATCAGTAGATAGAAGGTTGATCCCCCTCTTTTTCTTTTTTAATCTCAGAAAACTTTTATTTCTTTTTTTATATTTATATTTAGCAGTTTATAGTATTCAAGCAAGATTATTCAGAACTTCATGCATTTTAGGGTAATCAAAACAGACTTATATCTCTAACAAGCCATATATTAACAATTGGAGAGTAGAAAAGTCTTAGGCGGGTGTGCAGAGAAGTCTCCAATAACTTAGCAAGTGAGGAATAACTGAACTCTGCATCCTACCTAGTGAGGTCTAGGAAAAGCCAAGTCAGGGGCCTGGCCAGCAAGGTACAGGCTGAGCAGTTACAGGCCAGCTGACTTTTTCCTGTGTGTTCAATACTTTCTATATTAGTTTTTCTCTGTCTATCTGAGCTACTTTTGGGGCTCCTGAATGACCCTGATGAAAGAGGATGGGATCCCCGGCTTCTTTTCTGCCACTCTACCAAACACAGATCCTAAAAAAATTCTTAAGGGCCTTTAATTTAACTAACTTTATTTCTATGAAACTTTTTATTTGATTTAGTTTTATTTATTTCATTTAATCCATTTCTATGAAAATTCTGAATTTACTGCCATAACATATGGAAATGAAATTTATGAACAAGAAGTTGGTATAAGATATTAGTCTATTTGGCAAAGAAAAGGGTGATAATCTTGTGGAGGAAACTGAATATTGTTACTCTTTGGTAGTTGCAATTATTTATCATTTGAGTTCTTTAACATATCTGGAGACAAGACAAAGTTTTAGTATTAAGTATTTTCTTGTTTTTAATAAATTTTTCACAAGTGATTCTATCCCTTGCATTTCTTTCTTAGCAGAATTTTAGATATTGAGAAGTCTCCAAGTAAATTTGGCCATAATTCTCCAAATATTACTGTTTTCTATGTAAAAGAGAAAGATAATTAGCACGGTATCATTGATATCACAAGTTTTAATTTCATTTTGAAATGAAATTGAACTTCTGGAACAAATTAACCCAGAATATTTAAAAAAGAAATTTTTTTTGTTATATCTTTTTCTTGTACCTAATTAGTTTGAAATACGAGAGATACTTAAAGGATTTCAACAAATACATTTATGTGACATAATCAACCAGTGAGACTGAATTTACCAATGGCTGCTATTGTCACAGTTCTCACATCCTTGGAAAAATGTTTCCAAGGTATAAATTTTACTTCCTTTACTGGCTAATGACCATAATTTTCTTTAGAGAAGAGATAATGAAGTAGGAAAAACAAGAAAGTCATTAATTGTACTATGGGCTTAATTGGTAGACTCTTGATTCTATGTTGAAGTAACCAACCGAGATCAAGACATGCAGATTGTCCTTTTGTCTTCCTTTTTTGCCTTCTATTTTAAAGTGAAAGGAAAGGTAAAATTCAGTTGTTGATTTTAATCTCACTTAAATAAAGCTAATAAAAGGTTTAGTGAAGGAAGAAGATGAATTCAAGTAAGGCATACCCTATATTTACCAGGTATAATTAGGAGTTGCACAAAAACCCTCTGCAAGCTATAATTTAATCAGAATTGTAATAACAGTCTTGATCTATGAATTCATTAATGCTGGTTTATTTAGATTTACTTGAAGTTTTGTAAGGTTGCATTGAAATTCTTCAATTTCTATCTTCAAAGGATAGAACCTTTAATAATATTTACAATGTGTATGTCCTTTTTTAATTATGAAAAGTTTCAAATATAGTAAAATTTGAGGTTTGAAGTGGACACCAACATACCAGTCATCTAGATTCTCTTGTTTATACTGACAACATTTGATTTATATTTTATTTATTCAGCAACCAATTAATAATTTTTAAAGACTTCTTCCTAAAGAATTGGACATGTGTATCACTAATTACAGTTCAACATTTGTGTACTCTTTTTAGGTAAAATTTGTAAGCGTAAATTTTAAGTTTACCACTAGAAAAAAAATTAAAAGGAATGTCTATATTTACTTGAAAGACAGAGTTACAGAAAGAGAAAGAGAGAGAGAGATATGGAGGTCTTACAGTACATCCACTGATTAATTTAGAGAGAGAGAAATAGATATAGCTAGTTTGAGATTGAGATGGACTTCTTACATGCACTAACTCCTCAGATGGCTGCTATGGCCAGGACTGGGCCAGGCTGAAGCCAAGAGCTTCTTAGATCTCTTATGTGGTTGACAGGGACCCAGGCACCCCAGCTATGCTCCACTGCCTCCCCAGACACATCAGCGGGGAGCTGGATAGGAAGTGGACCAGTATTCATATGATATGGTGGTGACATTGCAGGTGGCAGCTTAGCTCTTTATACTTCAGTGCTGTTCTTCCTATTGGATAAGATTGGACTATCGTTCCAGATCCTTGTATAATTCAACCTCTCCACCGCGTCAAAACACATAATGTCACCACCTGAAACTTTCCTCACACCTCTCCAGGCATCCTTCCTATCATTTTCCCAGAAATACCTCTTCTGGTAAGCTTATCCCATGGATTAGGACTTCATTGGATGGAGTCACTTCTCATTGCTTGTTTAGTACATACTTATTTCTTTCTTTTCTTTTTTTTAAATGGAATTTCAGAATAGTTCTCATTCAGATATGTAAAAACAGTTGTCACTTAAAGAATGTTGAATAGTGTTTAAGTTTGTTGTAAAGCACTAGAATATAATTTTATGTTTATATCCCAAATCCAAATACAACATTAGAACTTGACAAATAGACAAATCATTAATTCTAGAGGGTATTTTTGGGGAAAAAGCATGTCAATAATTTAAATTATTTTTAAGATTTATTTATTTTTATTAGAAAGGCAGATTTACAGAGAGAAGAAGAGACAAAGAGAGTTCTTTTGTATGTTGGTTCACTCCCCAAGTGGCCACAACGGCTGCTGCTGAGCTGATCTGAGCAGAAGCCAGGTACCAGGAGCTTCTTCTGTGTCTCCCATGCAGGTGCAGGGTCCCAGGGCCATCCTCTGCTGCTTTCCCAGACCATAAGTAGGGAGCAGCCAGAACATGAACCTCTGCCCATGTGGGATTCCAGGTGTACAAGCCAAGGATTAGGCCACTAGACCATTGTGCTGGGCCTAAGGATTTAATTTTTAAAGAACATATATAGCAGCTCTTTGTTTTACTTGCTAACCAGGAGCAGATCTCTTCTTTGGGCCAATTTCCAGTACTCCAGAATATTTCACTCTCTATAAGATGCCTAATAACTGGTTTTATATGACATTCTTTGAAAGAAGTCTAATGAATTCTCTTGCATGTTAATATTCAGTATATTTCCTTTTGTTCAGCAGGTATGCAAGAGTATGCTGTTTGTGTTGTTTTTAGGTTAGGTACCCCAGTGTTACTAAGTATAAGACAAGAAATAATAGGACTCTTGGGTGGTTAAATCCCAGCTTGAAACTTAGTATTACAGTTTTGTGTACCCTTCAGAAATGGTATAAAGACTAATCAGTGAGAGAAATTTTATAGTATTTTATTATATAAATGTTTTACATAATAAATATATGTTGTATAATATTTTATTATATAAATGTTACATATAAGTATATAAATGGCATTTTATTGTTATAGTTCATGATTTATATACTAAAAATAGCTAATAGTGTCAAGAAGAAAAACAGTCAATGGAGATATGAACTAGAACTGTAGTGCTTGAGATCTTGAGCTGCACCCAGAATGGCTTAAGTGAAACTCTAGTATACAGTATAGTCTGTACATAACCTCTAAAGCTTTACAATGTATAAGCATGATCTCAGCTTCATTGAAAGCTCCATTGCTTTTTCAAGTGTTGTATGCTCAAAAAATAGTGGGAATTTAATTATTCTAATTCAAGAGTGTGTTTCTTCTCTAAGAATATTAGTTGCCAAAGGAATACTTATTAGGGTAATTTATGTTTCAAGTAATATACATTTGTTCTAAAGCTTATTTACCAAAATTAGAAAGTAGTATAGAGACTGGCTTAATAGCTAGCTTGTAGTGCTGGCATCCCATATGAGTGCTAGTTCGTGTCCTGCCTGCTCCCCTTCCCTTCCAGCTCCCTGCTTATGGCCTTGGAAAGCAGGGGAGAATGGCCCAGAGGTTTGGGGTTCTGCATCTGACCTGGAATTGGCTTCTGGCTGCTGGCTTCAGATAAGCTCAGCTCTGGCTATTGCAGTCATTTGGTGGGAAGATCTTTCTGCCTTTCCTTCTCTCTTTCTAATAAAAACAAATAAGTAAATAAGGTATTATAAATTTTAGTTCCAAGGGGTCGGGACAGTGCAATGGTAGGCTTCTACCTGTGTTACAGTCATCTGTTAAGGGAGCCAGTTAGTGTCTAGGCTGTTTGCTGTACAGTGGGTGTGGAGGACTTGAAGGTGTGTGGAGAACTGTTCCCCTCCAGGCAAGGCCGTGAGGAAATATTCGCTGCATGGCAGGGCCCCCGGGGATGTCTCTGCAACCACCTCAAGGTAATTCCATCCCCCTTTGCATGGACACCCGAACACACTGAGAATTCTGTAATCTATTTAGGCTTTGTTGTGCTGTGGGGTTGGTTTTACCATCAATGTGAGCCTGGAAGTTAACGTTGCAAGAGGGGGTTTTGCAATTCATGCTATCTCTGCCTCTGCAGCCCCCATTGACCATCCTTGATCTTTAGGTCCCTCCTGTGATGCATTTCCTCCCTTAATTGATTCAACATTAAGATGTAGAATGAGGATTGTAGTAGGAATGTGTTACTGATTGATATGCATCCGTCTATTGAGAACTTCCTGACCACAGGGTTAGGATGGATAACATCCTGCTTTAAGCAGAATTTTCCTTGGAAACACCCACTTGACCATGATGTAAAAAGTCTGTGCCAGAGTTAGTGACTGCTTCTGTATAAATGGGACAGCTTTCTTGCATTGTTCATTATTATCATGAAATCATAGTGTTCCATTTCTTTTCTCTCTATCCCTACTCCATGCACCCTTCTCGAATTCCAGACTCATTTGGAGCTGGCCTCCAGCAGCTATCCTACTTCTGATGCAGTTCCCTGCTTGTGGCCTAGAAGGCAGCAAAGAATGATTCATGTTCTTGGGCACCCACACTCATGTGGGAGACCAGAAGTTACTAGCTCCTGGCTTCAGATGGTCCTGACTTCAGCCATTGCAGCCATTTGGGGAATGAACCAGATGGAATACCTCCATCTGTCCTTCTCTGTATCTTTGCCTTTCAAATGAAAGTAAAATAAATCTTTTAAAGAGAGTGTAAACCAGTGTTTCTCCTCTCCCTGTAATTCTTTGAAGTAAGATAAATGAGTCTTTAACAACAACAGCAGCAACAACAAAACATTGTGGTCCCAAAATTGTTCAGAATTCTGTCTCCTGGCAAAATTTTTACTCATTTTTTTAATCATGTGAGTTTAAAAACTTCTCAATAGTTCATTGCTAGTTGCTGTTTGAAATTTGTGATGTTTGAGGTGGATGTGGGGTTTATGAGCCCCAGGGGTGGGGGATCCAACGGGGTTCAGGTCACCTGGCCTGGGTCATGGGGCCTGCCTACTAGCTGAGTGCCAGGTTTGTGAGCCCCTGGAGTAGGGATCCGGCAGGGTTTGGGATGCCTGGCCTGGGTTCTTGGACTAGCCTGCAAGAATATGTCCTACTTAATGAAAAAGGTGGAGCAGTGGACACAGGCCCTGTTGTAAAAGGAGAATATGGCAGCTCATTTGGTGCTGTTGCAGAACAGAACTAAGTGGACAACTACCCCAAACAACCAGTGACAGCAAAAAATTTTGGTGAATGGAGGCAGTGGACATTGGGAGGGTGACATCATCCTCGGATTGGTGAAATCAGCAGCATTTCAGAACTATCCAAACCACTTGGACAGAACCCTTGGAATATGTACACACTGAGACTCTGGGTTGGTATCAGGTGGCGGTTCCTTATTCCTGGGTACTGGGATGTATGGAAAGCCGTGAGTGTTATTCTGCTTGGTCCCTCCCCTTCCCCCTAGAAACAACAAGAAGAAATAGCAAATTTGGAAGCAGTGAGTTCATTCAATTTTCCCTAAACCTTGATCCTTCCTGCCATGATTAACCATGTAATCATTATAAAAAATAAAATTTATATTAAAAAAAAAGAAACTTGTGATGTCTGTTTTTCTTTGAAGTGAAAGGATGACATCCTTTAATTCTGTTATTTTTCTTTGAAGCTAAAAATAATATGATTACTGTAACTTTCATTTCTGTTTTCTATCCCCAGTCTGTATTGTCTGGATTTCTTGAACTGTAATCTAGGGGAATGCCTTTAGCTGGCCACTTTTCAAATAGTTTAAGCAAATACTTTTAAGAAATAACATGTAAGAAGTTCTTAACTTATTAGTTATATTTTGAGATATTTATGTCTAGAAAGATGTATCTGAGATTTGGTTTAAAATAATTGAAGATGACAGGGAAGTTGGGGTAGAAGTGAAGCAAGTTTAGTCAAGAATTATTCATTATACTGATTTAAGTACTAGTTAATGTTTTTGTTTCATTCCTATACTTCTGTTATGTTTAAAATTTTCCATGATAAGTTAAAATAAAAATAGGTTCATTATAGAGAATTATAAATTTGAATTTCACTCTAAAAATAATATGATGTTTGAAGCCATTATGATTTTCACATTTGGACGAGATAATTTTCCCATGTACGAATTTAAATTTTAACTAGATACTCATGTTAAGATAAAGGAATATTTATGGCAGAATAAGCACAAGCACAAGTTAAATTTGTTTTTCCAAAGCAGATTTGGATGAATGACTGTCTGTGCTGGTTCTTACTGTTTCAGGTGGTCCAGCAGCCTTCATCAGGCTTTGCAAAACAAGCGCCCACACTTGCCCATTCCTCAGCGTTGAGCATTCAGAAATCTGGGCAGAAGAAGATGCCAGTGAACACCGTAATACCTACCAGTAAGTTCCCTTCAGCTGAATACTGGCTAATATCAGCCTCGTAACACTGCGTTTGGAATGTGGTGATGTTTTGGGCAGGGACCAGAGCCAGGAGACAGCAAGTCAATATTAGTCTCCAGTGTGAGTGATAGGACACTGACTATTCGAGGATCACCTGCTGCCTGTGTCTTCCTGCCTCTTACTAGCATGAGGCTGGAAGCAGGAGCCAAAGCCAGCAATGGGACTCAGGCGCTTTGTTATGGGATACAGGCATCTCAGGTGGCATGTTAGCTACTAGACTCTATGAGGGGCAAGCAGCTTTTTACTGGTAATATTAAGAGAAAAGATTTGCTCTTTTAAACTTATTATGTATGAGGGAAGACTAAAAGATAGCTATTATGTTCTCTGTACATGCCTGACAATTTTATTGGGTATACACATTGTTTTGCAAAAAAGAAGCAATTATTCATGGTGCTTTATATTTTGATAAAATAGTACCTACTGATAAATACATATTTTAATTTCTAAGGTTGCCATAGCCCACTGTTTTTGGGTGGGGCAGGGCACTTCTTTTTAGAAGGCAGTCATTTCATCCACGTTAGGGAATCAGTATTAGAAATGTAAGATTGAATGTTTAAGTGTTTTAAAAATATTGCTGATATAAATCATATTGACCTGTTTTGGTCACTTTTATTTGTGGTAATTTGAGGCCTTATTAAGAAAATGGAGGTATCTTCAAAGTGGAGATCTTAGGCAGTGAATAAACTTACAGTCATATTTGAATTTAAGCATAGTTCTAGGACAGCCAGAAATTTTCTTTGATTATAGGTATATATAAAAATCTATTGTCCTAAATTTTTCCTAATGTAGTAGCATAATTGTTTTTTTTTGTATCTTTTCTTCTTTCTTGTTTTTATAGCTTCTATTCTAAAGCAAATTACTCTGCCCGGAAATAAAATTCTGTCGCTTCAAGCACCTACTATTCAGAAACATAAAATAAAAGAGAATGGAGCAACATGCTTCAGGTAAAGAAAATAAATAGGACTTGATCTGGTTTAAGGAAGTCATTTTTAAGAAATAAAGAAGATAACACAATAATGCCTGCATAACACAGATAAATTGAGGCCTTTAAAAGTCGAATAATAATTTATGTAGTATAATTTGTAAACAATAAAATACACAAATAATAAGTTTGTTTTAATAGGATTTTGACAGAAATATACTTCTGTAGTCATAATTTGGATCAAGACAGGAATATATTCATCACCTTTTTGCATCTCTCAGATCCGTTAGCATCATGTTCTACCTCCAGCAGTGATTGGCCTTGAGTCCTTCACTGAAGATTCTTCAGCTTTCCTTTTTGCAGTTTCAATTAGCCATACTTAACTGCAGTTAGAAAATTCCTGAAATAAACAGTTCATGAGTTTTAAATCGTGTGATGTTTGAGTAAAGTGATAGGATCTCACACCATCGTGCCTGGGCTGTGAATCATTCCTTTGTCCACAGTATCAATGCTGTATACGCTATTCCCTGCTTAGTTACTTAATACTTGAATGCTATGTCATGATGCCTACATCACTCACCTCACTTTATTTCATCATGTAGGTATGTGTTATCCTACATTCTCAAATTATCATAGCAGGATGAGCACAAAAATAAGTAAATAAATAAACCAGCCAACTAACCAACCAACCAACCAACCAGAAAAGCAAAGAGGAAAAACCAAAAGGAGTGCAGTATAAGAATATATTGTGAATAAGTGACCAACTATGTAACATAACTCTTACATATTTATTTTAAAAGATATGGAGAGGATGAGAGAGAGAAAGAGAGAGAAATGTTCTTCTGTCTGCTGGCTTTTCCCCCAGATGGCCACAGTAGCCAACATTGGTCAGGCAGAAGCCAGGAGTTTTCCACATTGAAGGCAGGGCCCAAAGTACTTTGGCTATCTTCTGTTGCTTTTCTCAGGTTGTTAGCAGGGAGTGGGGTCAGAAGTGGAGCATCTGGAATATTAAGTGAGCAGGTGGCCAGCAGTATTGCAAATGGTGGTCTCACATGCATCGCATAATTTTTTATTGCAGTTGAATGTGTTATAATTGTTCTGTTTTATTTTTAGTTATTTATTTCTTACTGTGCCTAACTTATAAGTTAAACTTTACCATAGGTTATATGTGTGAGAAATACTGTGTCTGGGTTGGAATTGGGATGAGGGGAAAAACAGATTTGTTTCAGGAGCCTCTGTGGATACCCAAATCCAAAATCTGTAAATAAACTCAAATCCTTTTATAAAATGATATAGTATTAGCTTGTAATCTGCCTATGTACCTTCCCTCATATACTTAAAATCTTCTCTAAATTACTTGTAATACTTAGTATAATAGATAATTGTTCATTGTATTGTCTAATACAGAAAAAAAGGTCTGTGTTCAGTGTAGATGTAGTTTTTTGTCAGATATTTTCTGTCTGTGATTGACTGAAGTGGGGTTGATTCTGTCTTGAAGCACTCTAAATTTCCCCTTTTGTTTCTTCTACCCTTCTAAAAAGTGCTTTTCTCCCCTTTTGCCCTGATTATGCCTTGCTCAACTCTTGCATATGCCAGCTGATGCTGCAACCTAGCAAGGGGTATTCCCAAGGATCCTTTCTGAGGCCCACCAACAGCCCTGGTTCTCATGTACACTATCAGGTGCTACAGCATAGCAGGGGTGTCTCAAAGGATTCCCTATGAGGCCCACCCCCATCCTTAGTTCGCATGCCTCCTGGCAAGTGCTGTGATCTAACCCAGCCTGGCCCCCTCCCAGCCCCAATACTCATAGGCAGGTGCTATGGCTTAGCCTGGCCTGATCTATTCCCAGTCCCAGCTCTTGTCACTAGGTGCTGCAGCTTAGCTGGTTGGCCTACTCCTAGCCCCAGTTTTCACATACACTGGTAGATGCTGTGGCCTAGCCCAGCTTGGCCTATTGCCAGCCCCAGTTTTCACATGTGCTGACAGGTGCTGTGGCCCAGCCTGGTGTGGCCTGCCCCCACCCCTAACACCCATTGCAGGTGCTGCAGTCTGGTTGGGGCTACCTCCAAGTAACTTTACCAGACCCATCCCCAAACACTACTCTTGCAAGTTCTAGTGAGTGCTACAACCTGGCTTAGTGATTCTCCCCAGTCCCAGCTTTTATGTGCATGGTTGGTGCTTTGGCCTAACCCAGGGAGGCCCTCTGGATTCCCTGCTATGGTCCATCACATCTCAACCTTTCAGTTACCTGTGAGTACAGTGGCCCAGTTCGTGGAAGCCCTCAGAGATCATTTTATATATGTCAAATAAGCCCTTAATGGCCACCATTCTAACCTGTCCTAGCGCCCAGCTGGTCAGCTCTTGCTGTGGCATGGAAGCTGTGGACTCCAACTTTTTGTCTCTATTATTAAAAGAGATTACCCAATATGCTTTTGACTTTTAGTTAGCTGCCATTTCTATGGCTGTTTAAGTGTCTCATTCCACACCAAGAATCAGCATATGCCTGAAGGAAAAACACCACAGAGAGAATTGGTATATATCAGTGAGGTTCTCTTCTCTCAGTGCTGTGGTTCCTTTGTCAGCTCTCTGATGCCTTCAAAACATGCTTTTAAATATTGATGTTCTGGCCTTATTAGTTTTTTGTACCTAAAACAATTGTCTATATGAGTAATGATCTTCAGCTGAAACAAATCCTTGTGCAGTTTTTTTTTTTTTTGAGAATTTTGAGTGTGAGTTTTGCAGTTCACTTCCTTTATGATATATTTTGGTAAACTGAAATTCTTAATTTTAAAGGAGTTGACTTTGGCAAGTTTTTTTTTTCTGACTAGTGCTTATTTTGGCTTGAAATATAGAGATAATAATCTCCTTTAGAAGTTTTGAAACTGGGCCTGGCATGGTAGCTTAGTGGCTAAAGTCCTCGCCTTGCATGTACCATGATCCCATTTGGGTGCTGGTTCATATCCCCGTTGCTGCTCCAGTTCCCTTCCTGCTCTCTGCTGTGGCCTGGGAAAGCAGCAGAGGACTGTCTAAAGCCTTAGGACCCTGTACCGGTGTGTGAGACCTAGAAGAAGCTCCTGGCTCCTAGCTTTGAATTGGCTGAGCTCCGGGTGTTGCAGTCACTTGGGGAGTGAACCAGTGGATGGAAGATCTTTGTCTGCTTCTCTCTGTAAATCTGACTTTCCAATAAAAATAAATCTTAAAGTTTTGAAATTTCTTGAAGTTTTGAAGTTCTATTCTTTGTAAATCTGTTATGTCATCAGGAGTTAATTTTCTTTTTTCCCCCCTGTGGTGGTGTATGGTAGGTGTCCTCTTCATTTTTTACCTTTTGGTTACTTAATGTTAGATTTCTAGCAGTGTAGTCCCTTACTTTGCGCAACTTCAATGTAAATTCTATCTGATGAGTCATGTCTCCTGCCTGTTTCTCCTCTATTTGTCTTCCTCCATTCTTTATCTGCTCTTTGCTTTTCTTTAGAATTTCCTTGCTTGTCTATGGGCTTTGGCTATTTTAAGAATAATAAAGTCCCAAGATATTATAAATTTAAGAATTGTAAGTTTAAGAATTAACTTATTTATACCCACCAAAAAGCTCTGTTGGAATATTAATTGCCATGACCTTGAATCCATTGGTGCATTGTCCTCCAGCTAATTTCTTTGTAGTTTTGAGGCACTGTCAATGAAAATGATTTATGTCTGCATTCCTTTATCATTTCCTTTTAATAAATATTAACTCTATTTATTTGAAAGGCAAAGTTATAAAGAGCGAGAGGGAGAGATAGAGAGATCTTCCATCTGTTAGTTCACTTCCCAAATGCCTGCAGTGGTTCGAGCTGGCCCACGCTGAAGCCAGGGGCTGGAAGCTTCCTCTAGGTACCCTGTGTGAATGCAGTAGCCCAGGTATTCAGCCATTTTCTGCTGCATTCTCAGGCTCACTAGCAGGGAGATGGATCAGAGATACTGTAGCTGGAACTCAAATTGTCACTGATATAGAATGCAGGCATAATAGATAGCAGCTTAACAAGTGATACAAGTTGTGTCACAACGCTGTCTGCTGCATGATTTCTTTTATATATTTTAATAAAGTGCTGTAATTTTATGTATATAGAGTATATGCAGTTTGTTGCACTTACCTGTTAGGTTAATTTCTATATACCTTATTCTTTTTTTGTTATTACAAGTAATATTTTGACAATTACCTTCTTTGCTATTAGTATGAAGAAATACAGATGCTTTGTTTTAAAAATATCAGTGGCCTAATTCTAATAACTATTAGGTTATTTAGGTTGCTTATAGATAGTGATGTCAGGGAGGAGATTCAAATTACGGGTTGGGCGCTGGCGTTGTGATATAGAGGGTTAGGCTACTGCCTGTAAACCTGGCATCCCTTATCAGCTTGTGAGTTTGAGGCTTGGTTGCTCTGTTTCCAATCTAGCTGCTTACTAATCTGCCTAGGAAAGTAGTGTAAGATGGCCCAAGTTCTTGGACCCTGCCATACATGTGTGAGACCTGGATAAAGCTCCAGGCTCCTGACTTTGGTCTGGACAAAGCCCAGTCACTGGGACCACCTGGGAAATGAGCCAGTTAATGGAAGCTCTCTCTGCTCTCTCTTCTTCTTCTTTTCTCTCTTTCTCTCTCTTTCCCTCTCCTTCTCAGTCTCTCCCTCTTTCTCCGACTCTGTCTTTCAAATATATCAGACATTAGAGTTTTTTATGCTCTAAAAAGTTTGTTTGTTGGCTTTTTTTTCACATTTGAAAATGTCATTTGGTTTTCTTTTTTTTATTATTATTATTGGTTTTCTAGTAGTCATGTTGATGTTCACAATCAAGAGAAAAATTTAAAAATGCCACCTTTAATTAAACTGTGGGGAAACAGCAACATGTTTGGAACTAAATGACTTAAAACATTGAATGATCAACTATTGAATGTTAAACTATTATAAAATATTTAAAGATAAAATGTGGAATAAAAAATGAAAAAGCAGTAAATATCTTTAAAATAACTACAAGGGCCTGGCGCAATAGCCTA